GGCTATCAAAACTGGCTTAAAAAGCAGTTTAATTTGTTCGTGGAATAAGGTATGATGTTCTTTAGGCTGCTTCTCCGACGTCTGTGGACTAGGTTAACATTGACTGTGTATGTAACCGCCTACTCTTCCATGTGGGAATCTGCTGTCTGTAGGCAGTCGTTTATGGAAGCAAACACCTACGGTAACCGAAATAAGTGCTTTCTGGAAGGTCGTGCTGTTTCATTTGACTTCCATGATTCTCTCCGGCTCTGAATAACAGTTGCACTTTAGTCAGCTTGTTCTTACAGACAACTTACTAAGGGTCTGGAGATCGCAAAGAACTTAAGGCGGATCCAATCGAAAGCAAATTAAAGCATATCCTGGCAGGTTGGTGTCGAAGATAGGCGCTGTTCACAGAGGAAGCCACCGAAAGGTGTCCTGGAACAACTACATGTTATTCGGAATTACAACGCCGACTGTTCCTCAGTAATGTAACCTTGAGATTAAAACAGGATCGCACACCGTATTACCTTTATCCAGACAGGAGTAGCCTAGATTTCTAAAACCAATGCAAACTATAGATCTTGAATGACTTGATAGTTGGCGCTTCTGTGCATATAGCGGCAATATTAGTTCGTCTCTGCTGACCATAATGAACTACACCCAACTCCGACACTTAGAGAAATAAGCTGGCTGCGGCCGCCTCTGATGATAGGTTCGAGTGAGAAGCCGAAAAGTCAGGCCAGTGAGCTCTGTTTATGATGTACTGTACCATACTAACAGACCAGCTACTAGCCGAAAGGCCCAGGCGCGTGGTAAGTTACAAAATCGATACATAATACGACAGTCTTCCCCTTGGCAAAACATGTGTATATTATACAATAGCTGACGGAGTTCAGTCCAAATATGCAGTTCAAATTCCGGTTCATGTCTATAGACCTCAAATATACAGATGTATACCGCGAGCAGAAACTAATTTCCAAGGAAATTAAAAAAAAACGGAATAAATCCTATGTTCCGGCGTTCGCATATTCTGCATCTGGCAAGTCCTTATCTAACTTCGATCTACAGTTTAAGTGGTTATTGCTTTGTGTCCGCTATAGCTAACGTTGCTTTATGCAGACAAAGATGAGAACTCATTAACCCAATGAATTAAATTCAGTGATCATCTCGTATAGGTAGGCATTATAGCAGCGACGGGCTATCTCATACTTTGAAGGCTTGACTTGGAGAGTACGCGACTTTCCGAATGTTCTCTAGTTTACCTCGATAGCAAGTTATGAATGCAATGTTTGAATGTCCGCTGAACCACTTTAGGGGCTTCTTACTGTTGTGAGGACCTACGTTCAGAAGCGGTCACCGGCTTCCAATCTACGTGCAGGTCACCTGTACGCTAGGGTCCGTTACTAGCATACCTGTACGTAACTGGGTCATGTCATTGGGCTAGATTAAAGAATCGGAAGGCAATAAGTAGTATGCACGTTATTTGGAAAGCCTGCGAGAAATATATTAAAAATCAACCAGGACAC